GAGACCCAAACAGAGCGAAAAAGATGTCCAGTGCTTCCTAGTTTTCCATTTCACGCTTTATTTGCTATACGCACGACGAATGTATCTTTGAAAATAGAGGGCGGTTCACATCAGTCTCTCCTTCTCTCGCTCGAGTGACTAGATTTAGCTCCTTTTTCTGTTTACGGCCCTGTGTGTGTTGAGGAATGAAGGAATGTGCGACAGTGCATGCGTGTGAGTCCAAAACAGGGGCTTACATTGCCGGCAAAAAAGGATTCTCGTCGTTAGAAAAGTCAACCAAGTGGCTCATAATTTGTAAGGTGTTGTGGTGTATATATCCGTACTGTGGGTGCGTGCACACACACACACACATTCTATACCTATACGTTATGAAGTAAAAACTAATGCCTGCTTAATCGGCCATGTTCCAGACGTTCTTTTTTCGTTTCAGTCAATCAAGACGACGGGGAAAAATCCAATGACTTACCTTTAAGATAATTGAGATGAATAAACTCTGCAGAACTGGAAACTTTGGGTTCCACCCATCGGCTAAGCACCTAAAATATAGAAATGACACGAGTACAACAGCTGTCAGATTGATTGTCTTGGACAACGAATGTGAAAAAGGTTCCTGGGTTAAAGACAAGATGTGTGAGTTCTTTTTTTCAAGTCTCAACCACTTTTGTGAAACTGAACAACATGTCAACCAATAGTTAGAATACAAACACAATCGCATACGAATGAGAGAGAGAGAGAGACAGAGAGAAAGATGCCAGGACCGATTCGTAGGCAGTGTATGTGCACCAAACTCGCAACGCTTTCTGTTGACCAACGTTGCCCGAAACGTGCGTTGCATTGGGTCAGGGCTAAGTGGAAGTTTCTCAGCGAAACTATGCGTGATTGTAAATTGATCAATTGGGCATTGGATAATGAACAGGAGAAAAATAGGGAAGGGTGATTTCTTAGTTTTAAATAGTTTTTCACCAGGAATTGTGCTAAATACGGATTCAATCAATCAGGCAATCAGCCCGGTTCTACAGATGCGACGACCGGATGAATGGAAAGCAGAAACGAGCCCAATTACAAGATAGTAATTAAAACATCAACACAAGAACAGATACTCTTGTATGTCTTGTTGAATATTGCCATTAGCTAGGATATTGGCTAACTAGAACACGTATCCCACTGAGATCAGAGGTCAACATCATCGTACAGCGAAATACCAAGAAACGGTATTCACTCATCGCTATCAAACTCGCAGCGCATATGCGCTGAGGTTTGATGGACAGGTACTGCTAGGGTGTCCACTAGCCACTAAGCCGGAGAACGACTAGGGTTCTCGTCCAAAGCCTTTAGTTCTGACAAGAACCTAACCGTAAGGCACGGCGGGTGAAGCAAAGTGGAGGCCCAATTACTTGGATCAATAACTACCCCGCCATTTTTACCGACTGAGACGCTAACTCAAGTCGAACCCTCAACCTGGAGGACCAGGGGACTGAACTTCGTCCGACCTCTGTACTTCGACACTCCGAGCACGATTAGATCATTAGCTTGACAAAAACCATCCTGTGTAGCTCGTTGAGTCAGAACGGTGCACAAGCCATCACACCACACCAATGTCCAGTCTCGTTGTGACTGTGATTTTCACCACATAGGGACGTAGATTCTGTATTGTCGAAAGTATGTGTGAACAGCAGTTCAAAGTGTGTGCGACTAAGCCATCTAAGTATCTGTCGTGGGTTGTTTCTTGCAAGAAATGTAATGGTTTACATACGTACGTGCTAAACTTGTTAATACACACCATGTATGGTATGACATGCAATGCACTGAAACTCTTGATGTTATGAATCCCCAAGTCCAGCGCCAATCCTGCATTCGTGGAATCCACGAGATCAGTAAATAGTGAAACAAACCAATGATTCGTTTCGCATTTTCTGTAGCTACAACACTGAATACACTAAGTCGCTTCCTCAGACGCGCATCAAATATACTACTCGCTAGTGCGAGTAACACATCGCTATAAAAGTGGTTATGGTCCAATGTGAATGATCTGAAGAGCAAACAGACGTGAATTGAGAGAACGATGCACACACACACACACGGTGTCTAGAGCAACTGAAAATCCGGGGATATGTGGATTGCTGGTGGACGTGGCGGATACGAACGGGGGTGGAAACTAACTTGTCAAGCACCGTTGTGGTTGGAGTGGTGATAGATCTTACCGGTGCTGCGGCTTTCACCGCATCCACAAAACGACCGGTGACCAGTTTGCACACACTGAGCACGTAGGAACACAACGCGTCTGACGGGAGCAAATTCAGACACGTCTGTTATGAAATGAAAAAAAGACAGTGGTCAACAATTGGTTACATGACGGAGAAAATTGTATTGTTCACATATTGGTGTGAGAGAAGACCGGCAAACTAACCCTGAAACTTGGAGTGATAAACCACACAGGGCCTCAATAGGTTGAGTTTGATAGTGAGCCAGGCGACAGCAGGGCTGCCTACCACCAGTATTTTATTTATCAACGATCTTTTATTTCATCCACTGCTTTGCCGATGATGCCAATCACCATTCTTCTCTTTCTTATCCCACATTCCATCAAGCTAATGACAATATCGATCACGATCGTAATGTCATTATTAGTGCTTCTGTTGCCACCGATCTCGGACTAATCTCTGCATGGGGTTCTAGCAACTATGTGTGTGTTTCAATGCTTCCAAACCTCCGCTCCTCTCAGTCTTTCTTAAACGTGTCGCTCTATTCTCCTCAATTTAATTTTTGATTCTCTGACCCCTCGTTCCACAAATTCTCTCTTCCTCCTCGGTTTATCCATAAATTCAACTCTCTGGTGGTCCCCTTCTTATTTCTACACTTACCTCTCGCGCTGCGGGCAAAGTCGGTTTTCTATTCCGCGCAAACCGTTTCTTGACACACAAGCACCTTCTCCAATTGTACAAAGCTCAAATCCACCCGATGCTCGAAATACTGCAGTCACGTATTGGGTGGAGCTCCGTATTCCGGAACGGATAAATCAATCAGATCCAAATCCGATACGATCGTCAGAGTGCAATCAAAGCAGGCTAAGAAAAAACACTGAATGTTAGCTGCTGAAACCAGCATTTTTCAGCTGAACAATCTCTGCATTGTGCGTTCGAAAACAGTTATTCAGGCCATTAGATTTATTAACACCAATTAAAGACTATAGAGTGACATGAAACCGGTTACAAAAATGAGTGTCAAATCGGTTATGCATTGGATTTACTCAACGATAAAAATGACACCTGTGGCGTGATTTCAACTCCCTACAGCCCGCGCAATATTACACATACGCATACACCTCCGTAAACGCGATGCATCTTCTGTTACATTGATTGGCTTCCAAATGGGTGCCTAAGACTTATAAAGAGTGTGCCCGAGAAGTTTATTTCAATACAATCTCTCTACACTAACAGCCGAAGCCGAATCCGAGCTTACGACACTTTTTCGCCCGAGTGCACCACGAAAAGTGATGTTTGTCAGGGTTACCTTCTCTCTCTCGGTTTCTATTTGATTTCGTGATAGATTTAATTCTTGAAACAGCCCTATCCTCGTGCGAAGATAGCGATACTGATTTACTCCTGGGTGGCGGGCTGTTTGATCTAGAGTATAAAGAAGACACTATGCAACTAAGTTGTAAGCTTTTCGGGATAGTTTGGGTGCTAGTGTAGCCATGTTCGGTATGCCTTTTGCACCTTCGAAGTGTAACATGTTCCTCCAAGATTGGGTTCTTCCAACACTCAGTCGTACCCTGACTGGGAAATAAGTAGAGTAAGTAGACAAATTTTACTATCTAGGCAGCTATATCTCACCCCGCGGACGCATCACACATGAAGTGTCAGCTCACATACAGAAGGCTCGGTTGGCATTTTCCAACTGCATTGGCATTTTCCAACTGCACGAATCTGGTGGGTTAACCGGACTAGTAATGTTGTGGTTAGGCGCAGAGTTTTAAACAGTCACTGTCGTCCACTGGAGCAAGTGATCGACCTCCATAGATTACGTTGGTTGGGGCATGTGTTACGCACATCGCCAAATAGGTTGCCAGGGCGAGTGATGTCTGCTGAGGCAGGTAGCAGTTGGAAAAATGTTAAGGTTGGTCAAGCTATGACCTGACATGAGGATATGAAAATCTCAACCAGGAGTCTGGGTCACATAGGTCCCATTAGGCTCCCTGGCTGGGGACTTCGGGATAATGGTCACCGATGGTTAAAGACACTGAGTGGTGTGGCTGGGTGTCGCAAACATTGGTGCTTGTGTATCCACTCATTGTTTACCTAACACCACTCTATATGAATTTTGCATTCCCGCTTGAATTCGCTTTTAACATTTCAATCTTTATTCTACTGTTTTATCCAAACGGGGCACCAAAATACAACAACCAAAAGCGCCACATGAAAGTGCATGATTAATGGTTGTAAAATCTGAACGGAATTGAATCAAGGAGTTCTGTGAATTTGGCAAGTGAACGAAACACCGGAAAGGATCTTGTTTGCCAAGATTGTCTTTTTGATGCAACCCACGGCTGTATTATTGTAGATTAAAATATTTATATGGAAACAATGTGGTGTGTGAATAAGGAGTACAACAATTCCCATGGAAATCTCTCGCAGCACCGAGTCTGCATTTATCTGTATAGATAGATACAGACCCAGTGGAATATCACATATCTCAACGGGGGGAGAATCGATCAAGTTCTCCTCATGGATTCAAGTTATATTTGATTCATCATTTGATACAATTATTTGCTCATCGATTATTTCGGTCACCTGATTAGCAAGCCGAGTGAAGATCTAAAAATGTTATCCATACAAAACTCTATCAAATTAACTCAACTCAACTCAACTCAAGAATTGCAATTTGTAAAAAGAAGTTCACCGATACTGTATTTATTGTTAGTTAGTTATCTGAGGCCTGATAATGACTATTCCTGTGGAGTGGAATGGAGTGAATGTGACGTCTCTATTGCGATGCGTTACCACATACGCCCACTTACAACCCGTTGACAGAACTGGTGTCTATCGCGATGCGATTACCAAACTCACGACTGTATTATGATCGATCAGTATGAGGAACCAACGTGGTCAGAACGCCCTTTTCAATTGATCATCTAAGAAGTAGAGTGACAGTCTATATTTCCTATGTAAGTGTGCGTGGCCTTGTCAGCGTCTGTGTGTGTGTGTGTGCAGAATTCGAGACTGGAGGACTTGAGGAAAGGATTGCTTGTTGTTGAAATGGTCGAGGTGTTTAGAAAGCAAACGGGGTCGTACGCATAGGAGGGACAATCCTGGACTAACGGCGAGGATTCATGTGGAACTGAGAAAAGGAATCAAATACATGATAACGGACATTATTTGTCGCTGGAAAACAACCGTTTTGGGAAATCTTAAAATTTGTCAAATGAAGATCTAATGGATTGGAATTATGAAAACGATAACGAGGTTTGCTCTCTCTCTCTCTCTCTCTTGCGCGGTAAACTCCATGAGAGATTCGTCCGAAGCAACACACTAATCAACTTTAGTCACTTGCATTCTCTCAGATGAGGTATTTGCCACTTTTAATTGCTTGTTGAATTGAAACAGTGTCAGTGAAATTTTGCGTTACTTCTGGCATTTTGCTGCGGATAAAACAAGCACTTTTACCTCGTCACTTTGGCCGTGACAATAATTCTTCGAGAAGGAATATCCGAAATAGTCATTCATACACACCACAAGAGCTGGGACAAAGTACCAGTGCTATCGTACCGGGTCGAAAAATTACAGCGTGGATACGAATCGAGGTCCGGGCGAAAAGAACATGGACGCATTTTAACAGCTGCTAATTTTGTGTGTGCGATTCCATCAATTGTCTGCTAATCTGTTACACATTGCAGTAATATCCTAGCCGACTGATTTCAGTGACTCGGTATAATATAGAATGGATGAGTTAACACTGGCAATGAATGGTTACAGGAGTTGTTTACTATTTCATAAACTCAGTAGGATCATTGACTGATGAATCGTGTTGTCATATCTTGATTATTTGTTCAAAGAAATCAACCATCCGAATGTGATGAATGTTCTTCTTACTACGAGTACTTTTAAAATTAATAAATTTAACAGGTAATTTGAGAATCCCGGTAAATCGACTTCTCGTTTATGTGACTGGCAAAAGTACTACCGATTATGCCGGCTACTCGAGAAACTTCGATGTTAAGTTGTAACATGTTTATTGAACTCTTGGTCTTGTTTTCCGCAGATCATATCGTGCAATAGAGAACCAATCGATACAATGTTCATCCCAGATTGGAAAAACCAAATGAACTGGAGATTTTGAAATACATTCTATGAGTGGATAATTAGAATGTAGAATGGACTGAATCGGAAAACTTTCTGACAGACGATTGAGCAGGGTGCACATTTTCCTATGAAACGATACCTGATGGCTAGTTTTCTATTTATATGGAATTGAGTTCCGTCGGGTGGATTTAGGAGTGGGTGGAATATGAGAAACATGAGGTGCGCATTGATGCGTAGAAAACCTCGAATGACAGATCACCAATCGATGACCAAGTGTGATGAGTTCCTAACACCTGTTCCTTTATCACTGACCCTAAACTCAAGCCTTATCCCGTTTAAATGTGGGCACTGACAACTGACGACAGTCACACAGTGAATTTTCGTTACTCGAGTATCCTTCGTCTGACTCGAGTGAAATGTAAAAACAGCGTGACTAGGAAAAGGTCACATGACAATTGACGAGAGGCACAGTATCCACGTGCCCACTGCAGTCTCAGATGAATCTTGTCAGTGTAGTTTTCCGCGCAATTGTTGCAGATTTCTTACAGCGCAAACTAACGGAGTGTGATAAACGACAGGGATAGATAATATCCATCCACAAACTCTTATCAACCTGGTGAGTCATTTAGCTCAACCACTAAGCGAACTATTCCAACAAATGTTCAACAAAACTGCGCTACCATAAACAGGGAAACAAGGGATAATTTCTCCGATATACAAGGGCGGTTGTCGTAGCTACCCAGCTAACTACTACCCCGGTACTCTTCTCCCCGTATTATCCAAAGTCATGGAATCCATTGTTGCAGACAATGTGATGAAGCACTTGGAAATATACGTGTTATCCCCTGCTCAACATAGGTTTCGTCGCAGGTGATCGTGTACCACTAACCTGCTTCTGGCCCGAGAAGAGTGGACAAAAGCAGCTGATCACGGTGATGCAGTAGACGTCGCGTATCTCTACTTCTCCAAAGCATTCTACCGAGTGAACCACGAAATACTGCTGAGGAAACTACACAACTACGGAATTCGGGGACTTGGACTGAGCTGGATAGAACAATTTCTTCGACAACGCATCATGGCGGTTCGCGTTTCTGGATCACTTTCTGATACCATCGACATAGCACGAGTTCTACAGGGATCCGTGTTGAGCCATCAACATCTTGTTTTTTAAACGACCTAATGGGCAATCTGGGGCCATAAACGTTGATGTTTGCAGACGATGCAAAAATATGGAAAACGGGGACAAAACCAGAGGACTCGCTAAAACTCCAAAGAACACATAATGCTGCCTATCAATGGCCGATCGAAAACGACATGGAATTCAATGCATCAAAATGTACGGTCGTATCCCTTCGACACAAAACTCGGTTTCCGTATTTTCTGGAAGATCAACAACTTCCGTACGTCTCGAATGAGAAGGACCTCGGTGTCATTGTTCAAGACAACCTAAGCCGTTCTTTACACTGCTCCCGGGCGTCTTCTACCGCTGTAATACATGTTGGTTTTCTAAAACGAGTATTTGGCAAATTTGAACCACGATTGTTACCAGCCTACATTCGACCCCATATGGAGTACGCTACTCAAGCATGGAATCCATGACTGCAACGCGATCGGAAGATTCCACAAAAATGGTCGAGGGACTGCACTCCAAGAGTTATGCGGAGAGACTGGAATCACTGCAACTGTACTTCACACAGTATCGCCGCAATTGAGGGGACTTGATCTTGGTATATCAAATAATGCAGAACCCAGATCACCCATGTCGTCCAACACTCACCTGAGGGGGCACTCATTAAAATTAATGCTCCGAAAATGCTGACAAGAATGCCGGCGTTATTCATTCGCCCTCCGAGTGTGCATTACTTGGAATTCTCTACAAACACAGGTTGTTTTTGAGCCCACAAATGATTCATTCACGCACAAACTGGAGGACGCTTTGAAAAGTCTTAAATTTCAACATCCGTAGAAGTGCACGAAACAAGGACAAATTGTGACATTCATCTACTTTGCATGAACCGTGATTCGATACATCTGTGCTAAACCTTATGGGACTAGAAAAGCAACCCCTTGTAAGTATTTCCCATAATAGAACTTTGACTTTGACAGAGAGAAAGAGAGGGCGAGTAAATTGAGCTGACCACGAGCGAAGGTGAATCGGAGTACACGTGAAAAGGCTGGTTTCAACGGACCCGTGCAATTGAGGTTCAGTTAAGCTATAAAATCACTGTTGTTGCTATCTTCAGTCATACGAGAGAATGATTGTGTTACGAGCATATTTATATGACTGATGGGACTCCGACCAGTCAACTTCCTCACAATTTTCAACTCATTCGGGGAAAACAAGCGACTCCTTAAGTAAAAGTTCAGCTTAGTGTACGAAGCCTCGCGAAATACTCCCATACGACCAAGCGTCTGAAACAGCCTTTGCTGAGGAAGCCTGGTCACTTCCATCTCATGGCGGAATTATTTTAACACTAACGTGTGAGGACGAAAAGTCAATATCCGGGTCGGTGATTCAGTGGCAGCTTACATTGGAGAGTTGGCTAAAAGATCGGGTTTCAAACCAAACAAAAAGAGGTGTACAAACTACATACAGCTTTGTGGTAGTTGTCACGAGGTCGATTGTGCTTACAGATGTATTGACCATCTTGAACGTTTGACGTATGATCCGATGAACTGGACACCGGCTCCCAATGAACTGCGGTTTTCATACACTGCCGAGCTGCCTTGCGGGTCAGACTGGTTGTGAATTCCCCAAGGGAATTCACCTGCCGACGCCTGGGAAAAATAACAGTATTCCGCTCACACGCAAACATTGTAACCTCTCATTTTATAAAGATAATTTTACCATGATCTGCTTAGCGAACGCTAACGTTGTTTTCGTTACGCGTTAGGAGATCTCCTCACCCACATGTTCATCAGGGCGCGCGACATCAAGTCAAGCGATTCAGTGTGCTTTAAATCGCCGGTGCGTTGTCACCGAGTAAGGCAATAATTCCGGTACACTATAAGTTTACCACTCGGATTCCGAGAAGAGCCTCAAAGCCAGCGTTTCCTACGCCAAATATCTTTTGCAGAATATTATACATGGTAAAGCTGAAACAAAGAAACAAGGCAACCCAGTCGTACCCCGCCAATGACAGGAAACGAGGATGAAATCTCACCATTGGTCTTAACCTTTCCAGAAGTTCAAGGTGTTTGTAGAAGAACTTGCTTCTCGGGTATTCCGTAGCTCAGCAAACAATTCCACAGGACAGAATGATCGATGGGGTCGAAGGTAACACGAGAACAGCTTGTCGCCTCCATGTACGGTGGTGTTCCAGGAGATAACGAAGGGTGAATATTTGATTTAGGCAACCACGGCACGCATGAAACCCGGTTGGAGCTTCGCGGATTTGGTTCGCACGAAACGGGGTCCGTCTGTGTAGTAAAACGAGCGCTAACAACCTCAGCGCTATGGTAATCAAACTTACATCTCAGTGACAGAAACCACCTTTGACTGTGTCCAGGCTAACGTCTGTGGGAGCGTACGCGGAAACCACGAATAAGCACCATTCGTCTGGTTTCTGCTACCTGATTTTACATGAACCTCAGAATCCTCCTGCGCATAGTCAGCTGTCTGCCGGGATCCAGTCCAATACAGTAGCTTCGGCTCAGGTGCTTACGTGAATACCTACGCTTACTTGACCTGCTGCTGATGGGTGTAACTCGTACACCGTCGAACAAGACAGACTGTTGTTTTGTACCGTATTGCACCCGTTGCCTTGGCAACCAGGTTCTCTTGCCTTTTCTTTTCAAGTTTATTTCAGGAAATAAATGCTATAATGATCACTGTTAGATAGAAAAGACATCCAACTGATTAGTGAGGAGCCTGTGAAGATTTGCATGTCGTCTAGTAGAAGAGAGTGGTGTAAATGCAATAAACGAAATGCGATCAAAGGAGACAATGACGTAAGTTTGAAACCATCTAAGATTAAATGTGGTGGAGGTCATGTTGGTGCAATGGTTTGGTCGATTTCACTAACGTGCTTCAAACCCTATGGTCCGAGGTTCAAGTCCC